CCAACAGGAATATAAAGGGCTTTTTGTTTGTCACCTTTTTGCTGGGTTGCACCAACAAGGATTAACAACAACATTATTCCTATAGCAAAAACTAGTTCCAAAATGAGTAAATACAGAAGAGGACATACTGTGACATGTCTCCATGCTTTAATGTTTAAAAAGGTATTTATTTTTCTCATACTGCCTGTGCTGCTGCACCTCTCCACCCTCTGTCTGAATAAGACCTGTGAAATGCTAGGATGTGTCCTAGCATTTCAAGTACAATGTGTTGGAGCGTTAGCCAATAGAATCGCAAATGTAACATATTGATGTCACTGTGTGCGGTCAGGACCTAGTAAGTAAATATAAAACAGATTGACTTGCTAAAAAATCTGTTTAAAGGTTATGATGGCTTGGCATCAAAGATCTTTTTCTGGATCTTTGAGTAAACTAGGCTGCCAAAATAATCTTGCAAAAGGTGACATAATAGTAGATTTAAACTTGATTATATTTGCCTAATACTTCTTTAAAAGACAGCCATTCAAAAGTGTGTTTTAAACTAAATGTTACTTTCTTTTCCTCTTCAAATTTGCTTCAGTTCTACCAGGTTTAAAGGTGGGGTAGGTAATTTTGGAGAAACCAGCTCGAGATCGCTAGAATTTGAAAATACACAGCCGGAAAAAATCTGCCACATCCTTACAGAGCCCCTCCTCCAACACACACGAACGTGCACATGACCAATGAGGGCACGAGATAAGTTTGTGCCCCGATGGAAGGCTGACAGGCAGGTAGGCCATCCAGTTATTTTAGCCGGGCCGGCTAAAATGATTGGTCGTGCTTTTTACAGTACTACGGCTTCCACAGATGACATTTTTTTATGGATTTTTTGTCAAAGCACTTAAGATATTCATTGCTATCGGGATGTTAAGAGCATTCCATGGAATATAACAAAAAGTGTATCTCGAGCCGGTTTCTCAACTTACCTACCCTACCTTTAAAGTACATTTATCTAGTATTGTTCAAAGATCATGATCACAAAGTGTTTTAAAAGAATAACAAATGACAATAACAGACTAGTCAACACTGATTAATTATAAACCCTAGACAGGATAATATTAATAATACATGGTATTTTTAAAACGCTTTTTTCGTATTCCTATTCCGCTTAATACTCATAAGAAAAGAAAGATAACTTCATGTTGGTGCAACCCAACCCTGGGACTGCTTTCTTGGTGTTTGTATCCTACTTGTCCTTTCTGTCCTCTTCTCACAGCTATTAGGCATTCTGTGTAATTGTTGAGTATGATGAGAAGTTGGCAGGAGAGAAGTCTTCCCCTTCCAATCCTACAGCAGAGACGAGTCCAATGAGCTGTCCTCTGACCGGCTGCCAGATTGCTGTGTGTTCCCCCGGCTACACAGAGCTGGGAGCGCTGACAGAGAGGCAGAGGAATTTTTTACGGAGATGTGAGAAGCAGAAAAATAGGAGATAAAAGCAAGAGAGCAAACGAAGGAAACAAGGCGTCAGAGCATTTACCGGCTTGCAAAAACATTTGAGACTCCAGCACACCCCATCGCTGGCTCTGACCCAACGCCTGTTACGGAGAGGGGGACTGGGAGGGGGTGGAGGGAGGGGGCTGGATAAACAAAACACGTCTGTAGCTGGATGAAGATTCTGCCACATTCAGCAGATGTTCAGTTTTCTCTTGGACCTGCAGGATTTGTAAACATGGATTTGTATAAAATGGCCAAAACGTATAGAAGGCAAACCGTATTTTTTTTCGGAGGTCTTACTTGAGTCAGGGATGAACACAAAACAGCAGAAGAAAATTCTCCCCTTTTGAATAAGATGAACAATGAATGGGAGGTATTATTTGTAAAGCAGCAGTTACATCAGCACACAGGTGTCCCGTCAGTGAACCTGGGGTCGTTGTCCTGAGCCCGAACATTTCAACATGTTTCAGTGTCTCTAGTGTCAAAAAGCACCATCAGTGTGCTCAGGCCAGCTGGATGAAGAATATGAAAATAAAGCCACGGGGTCGGATCGCATGTCCACACGCTGAGTGTGGGAGAGTTCAGACAGGGAGGCAGACAACACTACAGTTATTGTGTTCTCACATGATCAGTACACTCGCAGTACTTTCTTTTTGATGTGAAGTTACAGGAATTGTTCTGTTGTTGGTGAACAGATGCAACATCTTGATTTTTACAAAATAAAACATTAACAATTTTTTCCGGTGATAAAACAAGTACACAGATACTCTACTGAAGTAAAAGTAGAAATGGCACAGTGCTACATACTCTGTTACATCTACATGTCCTGCATTCAAAAAGTAAGTCAGTATAAACATCAATTTAAATAAATAATGAAAAAGTACTTTTGTACAAATGTAATTATACTATTGCATCATATTTAAATACAAATATATTTTATATACTGCTTGGTTGCTTAATTTTCAATTATACATTGTATTAATAATTTAAATCTGTCAAATAAATGTAGTCAAGTGAAAAGGTAAATACTTCCGTCCAAGATGTTGTTGAGGGGAAATATAAATTATTATGAAGTGCTCTATTTTTTTAATTAATGCACGTATTTTGACTTCAAATGATCATTCAATTCATCCATAATATTAGCAGAAAAATTACTATCAACTTTTTGGATAATCGATTGATAATTTCAGTAATTTCTCAGGCAACAATAGATGTATTTAAACGTAATAGTTTGGGTTTTGAGCTGTTTGTAAGGCAAAACATTTGAAGGTGTCACCATTTTTTATATTTTATTGGTTAAACAAGAAATTAATAAATGGTTTGATAAACAGCAGATTAACTGATAATAAAAGTCATTGTTGCAGCCCTCCTTCAGAGCACCCGGCCCACTCTTACAATATTGTTGAGATGCCTGTATTTTTAGCTCTACTGAAATATTGATACCATCAAACCACAAGGCATTACAGTTTCAGTCTGAGCTGCACAGCTGCCTGAGTCACTTCCCAGTCTTTAAAGACACTTTAAAATCAGATCTCTGTTCTTCCTCACAAGACATGTCTTTGTCATTTGTTCAAGGCCAGCTGACTCTTCATGACACGCTGTGACGTAAGTATGTTATTTCAGCTGCACTGCCAAAATGGCAACTTAAATTGTTTGTCAATAATAACAGTTTCTAATTGTTTGTGCATAGAACCTTAAATGATCTATATATATATATATTTTTTTGTTATTCAAATTTTTATTAGGAATACAGGTCATAGACAGTATACAGCAGAACATACTTTCAACTCTCCATATGCAAAAGGAGAATAATAATCAATAATCAGTTGTAATAAAATGATCATTCTGCAATAGCGTGGTTGTAATATGCATAAGTAAGTAAACAAAATTAAAATAGACTATAAGTTAAAGACAGGGAATAATACAAAAAATGAATACGAATAATTAAATTAAATAATAATACATAAACAGACGATATACAAAGAATTAAAAACAATAAAATAAGAAAAACACAGATTTTTACATATATTCCTAAACAAGAGAATCAAGTAATGTTTACAACCGAGTAAATTATCTATATTTGAAGTAGAAATTGTTATTGTAGCAACCAACACAGAACGATTGGATCTTTTTTTCCTTATGACCTAAGCATATTATAGAGCTGCAGGAAGTGGGCTTGATTTTGTAATTGTGACCTTCTTTTAAAGCACCCTGACACGTTAAATATAAGGTACATGAATCCACCTTTGTATTGAAACTGTATTTTTAAAAGTGTTATGCTCTTTCAGTTCAAAAACTTGCCATGCATGCTTTTCTTGTTGCAAATATTCAGTTTGGTGTTCTGTGCTATTTTCAGGCTGCACCGTTTAGTCCCAGGAGGTAGAAAGTCAATCTTTGGAGGCTTTAAAAAGTGCGCGACCTCCTACGGTATACTTTTATTTTTCTTTGCTCTGTTTTGTTGCCTTGTCAATCGAAATGGCCAACGGGGCCCTAGGTACTCCGGGTGAATCTGGAATGAGTCAGGCCAATCCATTGTATTCAGCTGAGAAAAGCTGTGGGATTTAGTGCTCCTCGAGAAAAATAGCCAACCCTCTGGAGAACTGGACCTGGGCGCTCGAAACTTTTGGCTGTGAGCAGCATTTTGATTTGGGGTAGAGCTTTAGCCCCGGGTTGTGTTTTGTTATCTGTGCTGTGTTGTGTGGGGGCTATTTAATATGCAGCGTGCTCTGCATGAACACTCGGATCAAGGTGGTCTGTTGTCAAAAGCACAAGGCTCAATGTTTTCAAGTGTTGGAGTGAATCCCCAGAGAGGAAAGATTTACTTTGAAGTTAAAAACAGATTGTTGAAACTCAGTGGAACATTTTATTTCTGAATACTATTAAATACACTTTGTATTATTATGCTACACAATTGCTCTTTTTGGCAGATTTCTCTCGCAAAAGGATTGTGCCAAAACAAGAAACCAAAATACAATTTAAAAGGTTTTAAAGTCCTGAAAACGGACTTAACTGCACGCGATCTATACAGTCTATGAAACAGATATGCACTGTATATTGTGAAATATCCTGCCTTCTCTTAAGAAAAACAACATTTCACAAAGAGGATAGGCTAAAGCTACACCCTGCTGAAAAAACCAGCTTAGACCAACAAGGCTGGTCTGGCTGGTCAGGCTGGTAAACCAGCCTGACCAGCCAGTCAATATTAGGCTGGATTAGTTTGCTGGTTAAGAGGGGTTTTGGACACTTTAGCTGGTCAGGATAGCTGGTTTGGTCACAGTGGTCTAGCTGGTCACCATTAGCTGGTCGGGATAGCTGGTTTAGCTGGTAAAAGCTGGTGGTCACAGTGGTCTAGCTGGTCAGGATAGCTGGTTTGGTCACAGTGGACTAGCTGGTTACCATTAGCTGGTCGGGATAGCTGGTTTAGCTGGTAAAAGCTGGTGGTCACAGTGGTCTAGCTGGTCAGGATAGCTGGTTTGGTCACAGTGGTCTAGCTGGTCACCATTAGCTGGTCGGGATAGCTGGTTTAGCTGGTAAAAGCTGGTGGTCACAGTGTTCTAGCTGGTCACCATTAGCTGGTCCGACTGGTATGATCTTGAGTAGAACTTTAACTGGGATTACTTGATGGTTAAGCTGGTCATATATGATGATGAAACACTCTCACCCAATTGCAGTAGCTCAATGAACATCTATCATTTCAGATCAGAGCACCTACCTTACCAGAAAGGTACCAGAATGTATAGAATGTCTGTAAATAAATACTCATACATCAAATGATTAGAAGCAGGAAAATAATTTATAACACACAATGAACATTAACACACATTTGAAAACATTTTCAAAACACCCATTACTTCATATTTTTAAGCAGTTTCCTTCAATTGTTTCTTTCCGTTTTTCACAAGGTCCTGTATTTTTTGTGAAATGTAGTAACCGGCCAACTTCTCCCTCTCGGTCTTCTCCACGTTTTGTGAATTCAGCCATCCTCTGAAGCACTCTTGAAAAGAGAAAGGAAAAACAGATTACATTTTAGCTTTGTGTTATGATTACTTAAATATGTGCACTGTGAGATGAAAAAGAAAAATGTATCAAGTTTAGTTTTGAACATTCACTGTGATTGGGTCTATTGTCCACGCAATACACCGTATTTAATTTTGTATTTAATATTCTGTTCTTGTAAATATCATATTCTATTATATTACATGTATATAAACTTTTTGCACTACTATTTATTTTGTATTTTTGTATTTTATTATATATGTTGCATTGTTGGAGGAGCTCAGGTCAGAAGAATTTCATTGACATTTCTACACTGTAGCTGCTGAGCATATGATGATAAAACTTTTGAATCTTGAATCCAACACTTTTTTCAGTGGAAAATCCTAAATTGTAGGATAGTTTGGCCATAATAATGCTTTATGATTACATTTCTAGTGAGAAGTGTATATTTTACTTTCAGAATCTACCTCCAGTGGATGTGTAGGATCTACAGTATGATAGATATATTACTTTACACCCGGAAGTATGTATTGTCATTCTTATTGTCGATAAATTGAGGGATATACACTATATTTTATTAACACCAGTATGTACTTTATACATCCACCTCGAGTGTTTGTCTCTGCACCGGAAATAATTTAATTTTAAAGTTCAACCGCATATTATATAAACTATATCAGCGCCACACCTGCGTAACACATGGTGCCTCTTGTCTGAACCATTTTTTAAGCAATTTGTAATCTATTCTTGTCGACTTGCAGCCTAAATACAAAGATAAATCCACTCTCCTACCACTGCTTACCTCTAATGAGCCTTGGTAGAACTAGTGTCCGAGTCATGGGGTCCAGAACTGACTGAAGACATGTGGAACAGAGTCATAGGGTCCAGAACGGACTGAAGACATGTGGAACAGAGGACAGGCATGGTTCCATGTACAGGGAACTTTTTGAACCTTTCTGCAGCGATGAATAAAGAAAACAAAGAAGACATTATTAATAATAGTAATGATGGTAACAACAATAATATTAGTATAACTATTTATATAGCACTTACACAATTGTAAAGTGATTATCACAACAAAAATAAAGAACAAAACAATATCAACAATAAAAAAACAAATGATTATAGGAATGTTAAGAGACAAAGAAATGATAAACATTCTGATAGGCCGACTACAAAAGGTAGACTCAATGGCTCTTGAAGACATCAATGAGCAGTCCCAATAGATGCTGCTGTATAAAAATAAATAGAATAGGTCCAGATTTCTTCTATTTTGTGTTGGATGATTTGTTTTATTGATTGCTGATGGATGTATATATATAGGGTTTATTCAACAGCAGTAAAGCATTAAGTTGCTAAATGAACGTACACTGAACTGTAAAACAACTTACCACTATTTAGGAAAGGCTCTGATCAGGAGGGTTGACTAGTAGGACAGCAAAGAGGTGGTGTCATGTACAACCATTGGTAGATGTTACACCTGAAAGAAAGATAAGGAAATAAGAGAAGACAGGAGGACAAACATCCTCTTAAGTAAAAGACCAAATCATGTCAAGCTTTAACCTGAGCCTGTTTTTTCAGTCTTTACAATGCACTGTTGGAAGATACCTTCCAAAGGCTACATTCAAACTCAATACCATAAATAACTGGGTACCAAAGTGCTTTACCTGATAGAACACGTTCCACACGGAGCAGCAACCATCCGGCTCGGCCTTTTGCTGCATATCATCTCCTCCCTCTCCACTGTTTCCAGTAGATCTCTACTGTCCAATAAAACTGAAATTCCCCAAAAAATCATATTAAAAAAAGTTAAAAACAATAACTTGCTTTTGGCATTGAAATAGATTAGATTATAATCTCACCTTTTTCCTGGATGTCAGGAAGGCGTTCCCTTCAAGTCCGCAACCAGTCATAGGGGTTCAAATGCAAAGCCTGAACGATGACAAGAGCGAGATTTACATTTTACAATTATATTTTTAATTCATACCAGAGCAGTGTGTACGACATGCAAAGAACAGATCAAATCCCCTGACAGACTCACACACTTTGGTGATGTCCTTATCTGATAATGTTTCATTTTTTTGCAGCAAAGTAACATTACTCAAAGTATATGTTTTGCATCTCCTCAACAATGGTCTGTATCATTGAGTAGAAAAAAACTGTCCCCACAATTTCAGGTAGATTAACACACATTTGTAAGAAAAGTTTACAATGAAGTTACAATGAAGTTTACTGTCTGTCTGTGTCTATTTCAGTTTCGCTAGCAAGACTGCTGGTAGACCAGCTTCACCAGCTTCACCAGCATAGACCAGCTAAAACCAGCATAGACCAGCATGACATCCATGCTGGGCTATGCTGGTTTAGCTGACCAGGCTGGTCTTGAACCAGCAAGAACAGCCTGGCCAGCTTGTCCAGCCTGGTAAACCAACTAAACCAGCCTAACACCAGCCTAAAACCAGCTAAAACTAGCTAAAACCAGCTAAAACCAGCTAAAACCAGCAACCATCTTAAGCTGGTCTATGTTGGTTTTTTCAGCAGGGCAGATGTAGCACATTAGACGGTTAGCTTCTCAAACAGCTAGCTCAGTAGTTGATTAGCACTCGTTTTGAAAATCCTGTTGACATGATTTCTGACTTTGAAAAGAGATAACTTTTTCTGAGAGCTAGTTGAGAAGAAGGAAACCACACCCATGCCTGACCGCTGAAGCCTTGAAGTGATTAGCTTAGCCTAGCATTAAGGCTAAAAGCAGGGAAAAACAGCTAGCTTGGATCTGCTGAAGTTGTATTGCTATTCGCCAAAAAACGTGTCGTCAATTTAACTCCTTGTATGACCACAACTTGTTTTTTGTTTTAGTGAGCTCTTGAGGTGCTAATGGGTGGTGTATTTTTGAACCTTGTAAAGAACTAGGCTAGCTGTTTCCCCAGCTTCCTATCTTTAGACTTAGATAACTGCCTCCCTTTCCTGGCTATGTGTTTAATGCACAGACAGATCAATTAGCATCAAAGTTCTCATTTAACTCTCCGCAACAATCAGAACATGTTTTAATTCTCTATCAAGCTATAAAAAACGTTTCATGTAGTGCACTATGGTCGGGCTGTATTTCTGCAGTTTGTCAGTTTTAATATCCAGCTCTGTGTTAATTGTTAGTTGTCCTGCTTCAAGTGTTTTATGTCCACGATGATCAAAACGCCTAAAATAGAGCATTCTATAAATAAAAAATGGTTTGAAAAAGACCTTATTTCTTTCATGTCCAAAGGCAGAAACACTTGACAAGTTATCATTATTACATGTGCACCGATTTACATTTTACTGAGACAGGATCTTCTTTAAAGGCTCCATGATTATTTCTTATTCTACCCCCACTCCACTCGGCAAAGCAGATGACCTTGAAACCAAAATAAGATGAGTGTGTGAGTGTGAGTTTGTGTGTGTGTGTGTGTGTGTGTGTGTGTGTGTGTGTGTGGATGCAAACAGAGAGAGATACAGATCTCATCGTCTGCTGCTGTGACGAATGAATGGTCGACCACCGGCGTCGCACCTCAGGATGCTGCTTAGAGGAATGACTCCACTTTACTCATTCATCTTCACACGCCTTCTTCTTCACTTCGATGTTTGATCCATCCATCGCCTCTGTCTCTGCAACACCTGCTGCCATGGCAACCCCAACATCCCCTCTTCCGTCCCTCAGTTAGTGGCTGGAGAGAAGCATGTTGGGTAATCTGACTTCACCTGGATCCTTTCCCCTGGGATTTTCCTGTCCTTGAACCATTTTTTCCTCGTGATATATTTAATCCCTTATTAGGATGGAATGAATCACATTTCTATATGTATGACCTGTTCCTATCAAAGCCTACATAATGCAATAATGCAGTCAAAGAGCTCTATATCCTTCTGGTGTAGTGATAGAAACGTCACTTTTTTCTTTTCCTGCTGCTTCTCCATGTGTGGATTAAATTATGGGTCTGCAGAAATATAATGAATACACTTAAATCGACACAAATAATGGCTATCTCAGGTCTGCTGTGTGCAGACACACATCATTGCTGCAGTATTGACCGGAGCTCATGGCAGCAGGTGGGTAGAGGAAATAATGGTGCAATTAAAGTGAGGAGCTGTGACATCTCAGAAGCCCAGACAGTTTGTATTGGGATTTTTTCTTTCATCGTTGATATTGTTTTTAGGAAATTAATGACTATAAAAGGAAAGGATGCGTCGGACAAGTCATCCAAATAGTCTGTCCGACAATATTTAAAAGATACAATTAGAGTGCTGTATTGTGCTTCTTATCCTTCCTTGCATGTGCTACTGTAGCTGTGGTCAGGGGGGTTATTTTTTATTGTTGAGTTGCTCGGCCATTTGCTGGAAATGTCTCAGGAACAACTGGAGGGAATTTATTTATAGGGCGCTATTATGTTTGTATTTGTTCCTGTTGTGTATTCTGCAGATTTTTGTGCATGTAATTGGTCTGCAAATGCTAAGATCCCATGTTCCCTACAGAGGGTGTTTCTCTCCCACACACTCCCCCCCCCTGCCTGAAACGCCTCCATTAGGCTCCTTTTTTAACTTATGCAACATAATAAAATCACTCTGTAACAATTGCGCTTCTATTGGCTAGCGCTCCAACACAATGTTTGTGATTGACTAATCAGAACAGAGCCGGCCAGCTAACCAATCAGAGCAGACTGGGCTCTGGTTTCAGACAGAGGGTGAAAAGAGGTGCTGCAACACAGGCAGTATGAGACACATAAAGAGCTTTTTGAACATTAAAGCAGGAAAACATGTCACAGTAGAGACACTAAATACAAATATGATCCAGACAATTAGCATAATATGTCCTGAATTCAGCTCAAACGTTGACGTGATAAACTAATTAAAATGTGTTTGACTCCACCTTGACCAGCAACAATATTAATATACTACTTTCACACGAATGCATCAACAATATTACAACGTATACGATATCCAGGTATACTCTGATTGAGGAAGTGATCTGATCCACTGTGCAGCTCTCATCTCTCTGATGTGGTACATCTGACACCACTTGATGGTCCTCTGTTATTAAATCGGCAGCATCAATGTTGAAGCGGGTTGGTTCAGTTTAACTTTGATTCAGCAAAGAGAAACCACATCAAGTGTTTTGCTGCCTGAAGGTGACAGGAGAACAATGCTGGCACATTATTTCTGCTGCAGTGATTTCAGTTAGAGAAAAAACCTGTAATGGAAAAGTTTATTAGAAATCAGCTGGAAAAATGTGGGGAATCTTGTTAGAAAACACGTTTATTTCAGTTTTTATTGTTCCGAATGGCTCTGCCAGATTACTTCAGTAACACCTAGAGGGGACAGATTTTAATATGATGGGAGAAATAATTAAAGCTGCACAATGGTACAATAAACTGCTGGAAAAAACGTTGCATTCATAAAGGATTTTACAACCAAAACAGCTTCATATAGATGGAGGCTGTGTTTGACCTCTGACCCTTCAGAGGGCATATTCACGGGTCAACCTACTCACATGTTGTACAGCAGCTGTATTTGTGCTGCAGAGCTTATTGGGAAATGCAGATTTTTTTCTTATACGTCAGCATTGTGTTAAATACAATCATTTAATAACTCTGTTAATTTGGTGTCTTTGCCCTCTCTATTTTCTCACTCCCCATAACATCCTGCGTAACTTTGCTTTTCTTTTTATACCAGAACCTCATACTCCTTTATTTATTTATTTGATCAAGGCCATAAATGATTCATGAGTGCTGACTTGTTCTATTCAGGCATTTAAAGCCTATATTTAGGGAACTTTGCTGGTAGCATGAATGATGTCTGTAAGTGTTTGTTTGAGTGTTGAATAGTACATTACAATTGAAATGTAAGCCAAAGCCTAAAAGATGCAATGTGTAAATTATGGCTGGAACTATAGTTTAACACATTCCAAATATGAACTTACAGTACATTATCATCAGATTGTAAAGAGGTCACAGTGTTGACGTCTCCGTCAAAGACACCTTTTAATTGTGTTGCAGACGTATCCTTCACTTTTAGCATTCTAATCGACTAGCCCCGGCCTTTCTTGTCTTGTAATAACATGTGTACCTCGAGAAGGCTTATTTATAAAACAGCCATGGACAGTGTGCGGTTGGATAACTTCTTTATTTGATCAATTGCGAGGTGGCAGAAACAATTACATGCAGGTCTGAGGGACGGACAGCCCATGGATGTATAATAAGAACTAGATACAGCGTGGGAGGCGGGGTCTCCTTCTTTCCTATGAGAGCTGCTCATTGGCGCATGAAGGCAAAATGGCCCAACTTTTGAGAGAGCGAAACGTCACAGATTACCCGTCATGCCTGGCTGCCAGAGCAGAAGAACCCGTATGTGCGCTCACGGAGCATGCGCCCCTTAAGCCCCGCCCCCCGAGCTCCCACTCTCGGCTCACTAGAATGAATGGAGAGAGAAA